CTCTCTCTCTAGTAATTTCATTTAGAACAGTCGTCACTTTAAGAACAAGTAGATGTTTTTATTGCCTTTCTAGTTTGCCGGGAAACTGGCAAGTAGCCAACCGTCTGTAAAACTGCAATTATTGCTGTTACTCAAAATTTATTGAACCTCTTCAGGTACCATGGGAGTAATTCCTGCCTGCAGAGATATGACCTAGCAAGGCAAGAAGACACCTCCCACCCCTTTCACAAAATAGATATTATCACCCATGCTTCAATCTGAGCTTGAAGTCCTAGAAATAGTATTTGTGTGCATTGTTTGGAAAACATTAAGTGAGGAGTGGTTTGGGTCCACTGTCTATTTTTTGGCCTACAGGAATTGACCTCTTTCCCACGTGGAGCATGCATTCATTTATGCACATGCTCATTCATCATTCCACACTTCTTGAAGTGTATGGGTGTGTCAGTCGCTGCTGTACTTTGCTTCTGAATAACTCCAGCAAAGCATCCTTCTTTAGGCTCACACTTGAGCAATGAAACAGTAGTGATGCTCTTGCCGTTGTTGCCATTGGAATGCCTCTCTTTTTTTTCCTACCACTTCTGACTACAGATACCTGAATAGTCAGATGAGAGCCCAGGCCAGACATGCCCTCCTGGATCCCATTATAGAAAATAGGGTTTGGTTTCAAGATCAGTAGTAAGGGCTAGCCTCTAACAGCAGTAAAATATTTTAGAGTTGTTTTGGATCCCTATTCACAGGCGTGACATGATGGCCATTGCTCTCTTGAGCTTCCAGCAGCTGTGATTACTCACAGGGGACCTACACAAGATTAGGGACACTAAAGAGAACTCACTAACAGAGTACCATGGTGAGCAGGTGGGCCACTTTGTCCTCTTGTTCTAACTCAATGCCATCTAGTGACAGGAAGACATGGCTATATGCTGTGCTGCCAACTTGTGTAGGTAGGGATAAAACCAATTTGTCTTAAAGTCAGTGTGACTATATTCTCAGATTGACTGGCACAGACCAGATCTGCACCTGATTTCTATGTAGAACCACCAATGTCGGCCTTTGTATTGAAAGTGTTAATAGATTATATAATGAATCAAGTGGTCAGCCTACTTAATACTTTTATAGAACATGCATCGATAGGGGGTACATTTCAACTTGCACCAGCAGTTAGAGATAAAGAGTTCAGGAAGATTGCTTTAGAGTATGTAAAGTAGTATTTATCTTTCCTGTTGTGAAATGACCCTTCAGTTTGGGGGGCTTCCCTAGCCCCATTGCTAATACTTAATGAACAAGCTCATTTTCATGTGTCTACAGACTTTTTCCTTGCCCACACCAGCCTTTTGTCCATTGAGATGGATGGTGCTAATATTGTAGCCTATTTCATGAGATTGACTCCCTCCAATCATTTGTTGGCCCTGTTCACCACGTTGCCATGTTTGGAGGATACTTGTCCATCTGTCTGAAGAGTGACACTCAATGTCTTGTCTTCTTGAGCCTCAATACAGGCCATCTGGAATTGACAGGGCTTTTCAGTTACAACAGATTTTTTTTTAAACGCTTCATACATGGGTGGCCCTAGTGAGCCCTCTGGTTGTAGAAATGAGAAGGCGGGGGATGTCAAAGACAAAATGAAGAATGAAAAAGTGTGATTGGTATGCACAATTAAGAAGGTATAATATAAATATAAAATGCTATTTGAAAGGAAAGAATTTTGCTGTTTCCTACCTTAGCCCTGAACCTGAATGACTTTAAACATTACAAGTGACTTTTTTTTTTCAAAGTTCCCCAGAAGCAGGAACTTGAGTGGACGTGTTGATTCTTTTCAATGCCAAGAATGAGAATTTTATTGGAATAAAAGAGCTAAGAGAAGAAAGGCAACATTTTGTAATAGAATTGCTTATGTTTATGCCTTATATTTATAGTTTTGAAGGTAGATTCTGGAAAATAAGATGTATAAATAACTACCATGAGCCAGGTGTTTTGCTGGGCACTGAACAGATTAGCTGGATCTGTGTTGGGCTATTCTATCACATATTACAGTTCATTTTCTTGTAGGGCATAAAGACAATCTAATCAATGACAGCTGGCCTGTGAATTTTAATGTTATTTGTTTGTTTTGTTTTCCATCTTATGAATAGTTACGAAATTCTGATGCTTCCTTGTCTTGCTGTTGCAGGAGCACTGGAGTATTGAGGAAACCAGGTTCTCTCTTAAGAAAATGAGGATTGATTGGGCAAACAGATGGAACATAACACACATTAATTGTCTGTGATAATTTGGACCCAGTCTTTTGAAACTTTTGACACAGGGCTGGGCTGAAGTTCAACTTCACTTCATTTTTGATCAAGGAGCTTTTTAAATAAAATGAAATAGTTTCCAGAGAAAGGTTTACAAGGAAAAGTATTTTGGAAGCAAATTATTTATGTGTGTTAACTAACTGCTGTTAGTTTGCACTTTGTAAAAAGTGTTTTGTTTTTTTTGTTTTTTTTGGTTTTTTGAGACAGGGTTTCTCTGTGTAGCTTTGCGCCTTTACTGGAACTTGCTTTGTAGACCAGCCTAGCCTTGAACTCACAGAGATCCGACTGCCTCTGCCTCCCGAGTTCTGGGATTAAAGGCGTGCGCCCTGAGCAAGGAACCTGAGTATCCTCTGCTTCATAAATGTCCTAGTCTGAAAGAATGCTCATGTTTAGGTCTGCTGCTATGTCCAGGACAGTGTACCCAGAATTTTCTTCCTCATAACAAACCATTTCTCAGGGGTAGGTTTCCATTATCCTGAATGAATTTCCCATATGGACTTGCAGGCTGTATCCCAACATCCTTTTTTAGTACCCTGAAGCAAATTACAAATGTGTTTAATTCGACTTCTTGAGACTACAGTTCAGAGACTAAGCCATACCTAATTTGGAGCTATTTTCTCTCTGGTTTTTATTTTGACGTGTGCTGGTTCTCTGCTGTTGTTGCTATTTCTACCATCTCAAGGGAGCTGCTGTCATGGTTGTCATCGTGCAGACAGACACACAAGAGAGCCCGAAACGGGGTGCTTTCATAAAGCATTGATTTTTATTTGAAAACATTGTACAGGTGTTACATTGCCACAGCCAGTCCATGGGGGAGCATGCAAATAGAAAATGTGGATTGCTTGTTCAGCTTCCCAGTGTAAAGGTCTTTTTTTTTCTTTTTCTTTTTCTTTCCTTTTTGTTTATATTTGGGTTCATATTTTCCATGGTGGTGTCAGGATTAGTGTGCTTTGTTATGTGGTATGAAGATAGACTCCTACCCATGGGGTAAAATCTGTACTGATAGCTAGCTGGGAACTACTAAATGGTTACAAATCAAAAATAAATCCCAAACAAACAAGACTACAAGCTTGTCAAAAGGTTAATAGCACAAGTTAGCCATACCTAAACTAAACATTGAAACGTTTGGATGGGACACAGTGGTGCAGAGTTGTCCATTGCTTGGTCTACCTGGATGTGTGTTTGAAGCTGTGGGGAGATCTGACCAAGGCAAGCTCTGTCCCCAGTGAGAGTTTCCAGTGAGGAAGTGAAAACCACTACCCGTCTCTGGCAAGGTTGAAGAGAGCTGTGGTTTGCTCTTCGTCAACATCCATACAAAGGGCTGTTCTCATTCATTGAGGAGAGAAGAGTGGTGGATTAAGACGTTGATATTCTTCCTGGTATCTACTGAGGTTACAGAATCTCAGAAATTAAAACTGCTACAGTTAATGTTACCCTTTTTCCCACTTCCCACCCCACATTCTGAAACCCCCAATGTTTTCACACTGAAAACATGGTTCTTTGAAACTTTTCGCCTTTGTTTTTCCTTAAGGGTCAATTCTAAATTGATCTTGGACAGCCAATGTTACCAGCTTTATACATGGAGATAAACCAACACAGGTGAAGTAACCCTGTGGCATGAATGTCTGATCACAAGGACATCCAATGACAAAAAGTATACAGTGCGTTCATCTTATAGTCACACTTGGTTTCCATACAATGGAGTCAATTAAAACATCCTATAAAGTGGTCTAGACTGCAACCTTCAGCCATCAGTTAATTGCAAACCTTTTCAAACTTTAAATGTGAAAATGTTCCTAGCCCACTGAGTGGACTTGAAAACAATTTCAGTCACTTGTTTCTCATAAGAGTTGACCGAGTGTCTACAAATTCGTGTCGTAAGAATGAATCAAAAAGACAAAGACATTTGGCTTAAAATAAATACTAAAAAAATGCAACAAATCAAGTAAATTATGCAAACCAAAGGAATGTAAACACAAAAATAAAAGCACAGTCTTTAAAGGTCTTCAGAGCTGAATGGACAAAATATTCAGAGAAAGGTATTTAATTGGCTTAAAAGGTAGCAGAGAGCAGATATTGGCAAGGTTGTAGAATGTGATATGTAGCTTTAGCTCAAACCTTTCTCCCCCATGCCCACCACACCCCAGCAAAGAGAACTTATTTCCATGGGGAAATCTGACATGAAATATACATATCAGAAAACAACCTTTCTTCCTTTCTCCTAGATCAGGATTCAAAAATACTTTAGAAGAAATGTTATATTTTCCAACGAAAAAGATTTTTAACTGAGTTACAGTGTTCAAGCACATTACTTATTTTGGACATGTGTTGTTCGTATGAGATTTGTCAAAGTGGACCATGATGACTCTTCACAGAAGAAGGCAGGCAAAGAGGCCAGAGGCCTGCTGGTGGACAGCATGGGAGCTTCTGCCTGCCATGCTTAGGCCTTACTTTGCAATTTGTTATTACTTTATGAGACCCCCGCTAGTGTTTTGTTTTGCTTGCTTAATTAAAGAATATTGACTTGAATTGTCTCAAATTTCATGAACATTTATATAAAGCTTGTAACTCCATCAAGGATCCTTTTGAACGATATTGAAGTCAGCCAAGCTGACACATGGAATCTATTCTAAATTATAAAGGTTGATGGTGTTTCTCAATTTCCTATGTTGCGGGGGTAGTGGTGGAAAGAGAGACTTTTTTTTTGGGGGGGGGTTTTCGAGACAGGGTTTCTCTGTGTAGCTTTTCGCCTTTCCTGGAACTTGCTTTGGAGACCAGGCTGGCCTCGAACTCACAGAGATCCGCCTGGCTCTGCCTCCCGAGTGCTGGGATTAAAGGCGTGCGCCACCACCGCCCGGCTAAGAGAGACATTCTTGAGATAATAGAACTGATTAAACTAATGATGTATCAAGCTTTGTTGGGATAATGTAGCATCTTCTATCTGTATGAATGTTTATCCTTATATTCTACTATTAGATGGGTATCAACTGTGACCAAAATGCCAGACTTTTCAGTGGTGACATCCTTCCCACTACTAAGTGACCAGAACATGAGCTACTAACTGAGATTGTTCCACATCAGTACCTTGCTCCAAGAGGTGGTATAAACAATGGTGCCCCATAATAAAGAGAGTGTCCATGTTGGCATCCTCTGAGAAAGGTACTTTATAACTAAGAGGGCAGAGGCCATGGCTTTTCCAGTACTTTGATTAATTTCCATGACATTATTAAAAAATTAAAACAGAAACTAATTTTTTAGGAGAGAGATATAGGGAAAGGCAGAAAAAGTTTAAAAAACACAACCCTAAACATAAGTGATTTTCTTTAGAGTGTTTCCTGTAAGCCACAAAAATGGGAGAATCCTTATCCTGTAGTCACAGGGCTTAATTAGACGAATCTCCTGGCCCAAAAGAAAGCCAGTGGCCTGGAGTAAGCAGAAAATGAAATATAAAAAGGCTAAAATGTTTGTTTTATATCTATTCCTAGAATAGAGAATTATATGGTCAGTTTCCCCTCCCCATAAGGGTCATAGCACAAAAAATCCTCATTGAGCAGGCAATCCAACAGGTGACAGAGGAAACCATTAGCCACAAGGTCACCAGGATGAGGGGACTTCTGAGGGGTAGAGCTTCTGTGGCATGCATCACTCATGTAGTCTGTGCACAACAAAACAAGAAGTATGATTCTCAAAAAAGTGACTTGCCATAGAAAAGTGGGATGTAAGTTGACTACGCGAGGGTCTGGCAATAATTCCCATCAGGAATACAAAACCTCCTTCTCAAAGTTGGTGTAATAACAGTAACAACACTAATAAAAATCATAGTAACAATCATACTTGCTTTTGATTCAAAAAATTTCACAGTAATTAATGCAGGGGTGGGGGTGGGGTCAGGGTACATACTATCAAAGCCTCTCTCTGAGTCAGGTGGATTGAAGCCTGTGTTTCCAGTGGTCTTCAGCTTGCTTCCTTTTACAAAAGGAGGGTTAGCTACCTTGCAGTCCACCGGTGAAACTGCACCTACTAAATACCTTTCTCTATGTACAATACAGAGATGATGAGCGAACACGTGGCCTCTGAGTTGTCCTCAGTGGGCAGGGTGGGCTTCACCCTAGGCCACACGTACGTGGGGCTCTTCTTCTGTCTCCTGGCCCAGGCTGGTATAGGTGACTGAAGGCTCCACCTGAGCTGTGCTGGGTAAGTCCACAACCGGTCCTGAAGGATTACGGAATTGCTTGTACACTCGGGGGTCCTGGGCTATGTACGTGGAGGTGGAGGAGTAGAGCACCAGCCCGATGAGGATGGTGAAGTAAGACAGGAGGTAAAGTCCTGAAAACTAAAACACAACAGAAAGGTGATTGAGCAGCCAAGTGTAGCCACTGACAGATTAATGATGTCTCCTGCAGGAACACGCAACCTGATGAGGGAGCTGGTCCTCATGATGAAAAGTGAATGTTCTCTTAAACTGGCTTTGTCTTATTGATTCCCTTTGTCTTTTTCTAGGCTCCGTGGCTAATGAGAGGAACAGTTAGCTAATTGTCCCTAAAATGCCCATCTGAGAACCTGAATTGCTTGGGAAGGGTAGTTAAGCACAAATTAGAATATATCAAATTCAAAGCAAAAAATCTCCAACATCACTCCATAAAGAGTCGGTTGTCTGTGGCCTCATTAAACCCAGAAGAAATATAGATATTTCATTTAAGGGCATAATGAAGCCACAAACAAAGAAGCCCTCACTGACAGCAGCGGCAGGGCACTGCGTTTCACCGTAATCCAATGCAGACATGATTTGTCTCCCCTGTAAGAACTGTTATTGACTTCAGTAACTATCGCGGCAAGATTAGGCTATCCTTGAACAGAGAAAAGTGGTAAAAACATGGCGTTCCTGCCCTACTCGTCAAAAAGCAAACCAACAATTTGCTTGACAACTCAGAGAGTTTTTCATTTTGTTGGTTGTTTTGTTACTTCGGTGTGTGTGTGTGTGTGTGTGTGTGTGTGTGTGTGTGTGTGTGTGTGTGTGTGAAGAGTGGTTGGTACAGATTTATAATGTCAGGAATACTTTTGAAAAATTACGACCTTGGACCTTCTTGAGGAGTTTCATTGGGTAGTGTATCAGAAGAGAATAAGGTTAAAAGACAGTTACCCACTTTCACTCCTTTATTCTTTATTCATTTACTCACTTGCTCACTCCTTCATGGTTTCTTACAATATCTCCTGTGCCTGAAACATGCAATTATGTACAAAGGAAATAGAAATGGGAAAAAAAAGTCTTGCTCTTCCCATCAGAGACTTACCAGGTACAGAGAGACCAAAGCAATACAACACAATTGGGGCACACCAGACCTCATTTCAGTCAATTCCTATCAACTCAGTCTTGGCCACTGTGATGGTTTGAATGAGAATGGCTTCCATAGGCTCATGTATTTGAATACCTGGTCCCCAATTTGGGAAGGACTAGGAGGTGTGGCCTTCTTGGAGGAAGTGTGTCACTTCAGTCAGGCTCTGAGGTTTCAAAAGCCCACGCCATTCCCAGTTAGCTATCTCTACTTCGTGGGTGTTGTCTCAAGATGTGAGAGTTCCCAGGCCCTGCTTCAGCGCCATGCCTGCCTGCCTGCTGCGATGCTTTCCACCATGATGATCATGAACTCCCTCTCTACAACTGTAAGACCCAAATAAATGCTTTCTTTTATATGTTGCCTTGGTCATAGTGTCTTATCACAGCAACGGAAAGTCACTAACCCACCACATCTTCCATCTATTACAGAAGAGAGCTGCTTTAGTTTTAGTGTCTATTTTTTAGGCTCATACTCTAGAAGAAGTAGCAACTGGTAAACAAACCAAGACGTACCAAGGCTAGAAGAGCAGAAGATAGCACAGTTATCCAGAGAGCTTGGAGGTAAGTTACCTGGCGATTGTAAACAAGCTGAAAGGTTGCTGGTTCAACAATGGAAAAGACGATCTTGGTAATGACACACAGAAAAAAAAATGCCCTTGTGGCTAAAAGTCTTGCTATAATGTACTTTTCCCTCCACCTTTTTCTTTCTGCAGGACCAAGGGAGCTAAGACTAAAGGCTACGCTCTGATTTTCTTTCTACAGCACTCTTCACTCTGCTCCCCAATCCCTTCATTTTTCACATTCAGGCCAGATGGTAACACGTTTGAATGTGGATTTATATACTAAACTCAACTTGGAGCAGATCCACTTAATTAACTTGAAATAATTAATTAGGTTTTCCTTAATGAAAATAAATGTGCCTTGTTCTTTGAGTCACAATTAAAAAAAAAAACCAGGGAAAGATGAGCATCCCAGGGCTATTCTTCATGATCTCAGAGAGCCTGCTCACCTCTAGACTCACCTCCTGAAATCCATATCCAAGAATCTCATCCTTCAGCTCACCCTTAGTGCATCAAATGGCTTTGCTTCTAACATTGTCACCAGTTTGAATATTTTATGAATGACTTTTGCTACTCTGTTCATGTGTTTTTGTTTCAAGTGAAGACTGTGTCGTGGTCTTAGGTGCCTACTGCTCTTGCTGCACATGAAAATAGGGAGGCCAACAATGGGACTTTGTAGTTACTGCTACCTTCTAACTCTCAAACCAGATTTAAGTCTTAGCTCTATCCCTGAAGAGCTATAATTCTTGGCAAATTTCTTGTACTTTTCCAGTCCACACTTCTACATCAATCAGTGCCTGTACAGTGTATGACAACTCTAAAAGTCATATTAGATCAAACATCAAAACACTTGGAACAGACACCTTGCAACAGACATTCAATTCATATTAGTTTCATTGCCACTGTTATATCATTCATAAGGGCCAACCCTCTTCTGGATGTGGAAATATAAGATTGAGCCCTAAGTCTACAACAGAGAACAGCTTCTGAATGCCAGCACATAGTGTATGTCCAATTCATTTCTACTTAATCCATCCAGAACTCACTCTAATTTTTTTCAAAAGATGGATAGCATGGAATTCTATATAATAGAATCATGTTAGAAGTCATCTAAGAAGTTTTATTAATAGGTAGTAGAGAAAGTTTCCATTTCCTCCAAAAGGGAGCAGCCAGGCAAGCATTGGGATTAATCGGGATAAATACTGGATGTCACAAATGGCGACAGAAAAATTTAACTTATTTTTCAAAAGGCAAGATGTTTCATTTTCTCCTGTCTTTTTAGCCTCATAGAAAAATAGTAAGAATTTCGATGTAGGTACCTAAAGAGACAACCCATAGTCCAGACATCACATTTACAGAGCGTTTGCTTCAACAACTAATCAGGCAAACAAAACTTCCATGTGGTCTAGGGTGCCTAACTTACTAATTGCAAATTGTGTGTACTTTCTGTTCTGGAAGCAAACACAACAGGAACTTCCCCGGACCAAGTGAGGCTAAGAGCTTTCAGCACTACAGGCAGGGTGAATCCCAGGCAGAGGCTTGTCTCCACTGAGGAACAGGACTGCCTGTGTGTGCTGTGTGGTCATCTCCTTACTCAACGGAGACCCTTAGATTGGCCTGTGTGTTCTGTGGTAGGACAGATAGCCAGTATTTTACTTGTCCTGTGGCTTACAGAAGCGAAGAGGGACAAGCCCTGTCTTGGCAGTAGAGTTCCCAAGGCTTTCACACTGTTTCTATCCTGACAGATCTCTGTGAACAGGTCTGGAAAGCCCTGTGTGTGGTGAGAATACCCCTGTACTGCTCAGTACAAGTCCTTGTGACGGAGTACTCAGCATGGCTGATAAGAAGCCTCTAGGGCTAGGCACTAAATCCAGACTTTAGAGAGCCAACATATGGTTGTATTTAATTAATGTGGCATTCAGAACACCGCTAAGGACAGAACAAATTTTCACTTCATTTTTGGCATCAGACGTATAAGTTGAATTTTAATAAACCCACAAATTCAATAGACTTCAACCTCCACAGATAGAAAGATTTCAAAACCCCAGAGTCCACCGATAAATATATCAGGGTTTCTGGAGTAAGGTGGTGAATTATGAGTTTTCACCATGAAATTCTGTGAATGAGAAGAGCTGGGATAACAAAAGAAAGTTTGTATTCTAAGAAAGAGGAATGGAGGGAAGAGAGGAAGGAGGGAGAGAGAGATTGAGAACTAGGAAGAAAAGGATGACAAGAAAGGACAAACAGAAAGATAATGATGTAGAAAGCAGCCCATAGCTTCCCAGGGGAAAGAGTAGATGAAATCACCCCCACAGGTAAACCATGATTGCAGGTGACCCCGAGGACAAGACTCACCGTCCTAACCACAGGAAAGCCATGGTCCTTGCCAGCATTAAACCAGTGGGATTTTAACCAAATCCCATTGGCATCGACTTTTCCCGTGGACCAGGGCAGCACTGTAAAGAAATCCGTTCCATCATCCCATGACTCAGAGGGCTGTTATCAGTTACCGCCCTGAGAGAGGACCTGCTGTTTGAGACACAACTACTTTTGGGCCCTGAAAAAAAGTAACAACCTCAAGTCAGGAGGCTTGGATTCACCCTGCAACAAAGTCTGGAAGGCTTACAACAGCTATGGGAGGCTTTTGTAAAGAGAAGAGCCTGACAGAGACCCCCAAGAGAAGTTGAGCTGTGGGGAACTCGGACTTTGAAGAGTTCCCCTGACAGCGGCCTGACCCTCTAGGGAGCTAGCCTACCATCTGTAGGTTACTGCGGTGACTAAGAGTTCTGGCTGGTGGGCCATGTGGTCTTGGAAATTGCCTCCTTGCCACAGGAGGTTTGCTGCTGGGCGGGACCCAGAATGCTATAAGTCCAGATCTCGAAGACTGCTCCTATCTTCCGGCGAGTTTACTGCTGAGCAGGATTTGAAAACATTGAGACCAGCAGGCAGAGAGCTGGCTTTCCTCAACACTCTTCCTTCAGGGGAGAATTAGATGTTCTGCCTTCTCACCTCTCTGATGCACTGACTTGGAGATTTGCTGGCCCCCAGTGTTCAGCCCGCCCCCGCTTCCAGGGCGTGGGTGGGGGAAGTCACCACAAGCCACAGACTCACAGCAGCTCCTTAAACATAAAGTGTCTAAAATGACCTACCCGGACAACGCTTCTTACCAGCCTAGCTTTCAGCCCACATACTGCACCCATGTATAGAGCGGGAACAGGCAGGAACCACACTCACCCCTGGACTCGGCAGATTCCAGTATTAGAGGATACAAAAATAAGCACCTCAAATTAAAAGAAAACTTTTTTCTTTGTACTATCATTCTTAGTATTTTTAAATTTAATCTTTAAAAATATTATGTTTTAATTTTTAGTCCTCTTCATATTCTTACCAAATTTCATCTATGGAGTTTTTCGTTTTGTATTCTGATTTTTTACAGTTTCT